TATCTGGGGAGCTGGAAGATGAGAACTGGCGACTTGGTAGTACAACTCGAGTACGCGGAGGTGACTTGCGAGAGGTCAAGAACTTGCAGAAAAAAGGTGTTCCTGCGCGTCAGAAAGACATACAGAGAGAGACACATACACACACACACAGACATAGATACACACACACACACACAGACCCACGCACTGCCTCAACACACTCGACTTAACACTTCACACTGAACACTTAACACATAACTCACACTCTAACTTCACACGTGATGAAAAATGCTTTCGGGCCACTCGTCGTCTAGTTTCTATTTCGATTTTATATATATATATATTACTTACAAGTAGTTCCCGGGCAAGCCGGCGGCGGAAGTTTCCTATAAGAAGAATTTGACCTATAGGAGTGTCCCGGTTCTTTCCACGATGCGCGTCCCTCGTGTCCTTCAGTGAGACGTATGCGCTCCGCATGGCGGCTGCTGCGGGCACGCGAAGTGGGTGGTGTTTTCAACGTCAAAATCATTTCTTCCTTCTCCATGCAGGTGCACAGCGATGCATGCCGATCGATGTTGGTGCGGTTCTCTAGCTACGAAGAGTGGCGACCTGACGCGGATCACAGCACCGCGCGTTGGGACCTTCTCACACATTTCCAGGAACATCGTCGGGGTGACGTCCGACATTACGCAGAAGAGAGTCGATGTCGTAGGTTCCATCAGTTCCGACTGGCATCTCCTCAACTTTGATACGAACTGGAGGATCCAGTCTGTGAAAGCCACTCTCCAGATTTACTCCGGAAAATTCCACGCGCTCGTCATCGGACCGTTCCGGACACCAGCTGGCGGTAGCGAGTGCAAGATTTGCGCAGCAGCTTTTCCGTGTCGCACGTTGTGCAGATTGCGACGGCTGGTCGGATGGCACATGTTTCACACCAACTGTGCGTCCAACATCCGCACTGATCGCATGGCGCCGCGCCTAAACGACGACCGCCTTCCTCGCGACTATAGGTGGCAACAGCATACGCCTCGCGGGCTCCCGGTACTGATAGTCGTTGACCCCACGTCAATTCCAGAGCTACCACTCATCATATAGAGGCATCGACGCAAAATCACCATCAACACCAGCCAGCAACCATACTTGCTCATCCTTTCATGTACATGTTCCGAGAGGAGCGTCGCTCAAGAAGTTCAAGCGACAGAAAAAGAACAGGACTCGAGGGTGTATGTTGAGTGGTGTATGATGAGTGGTGTATGATGAGTCCTGTATGATGAGTGGTGTATTGATGAGTGGTGTATGATGAGTGGTGTATGATCAGTGGTGTATGATGAGTGGTGTATGATCAGTGGTGTACGATGAGTGGTGTATTGATGAGTGGTGTATTGATGAGTGGTGTATGGGCAGTTCTTGAATGTCCGTAACACGATGTGGATGCAGTTCACACCAACACACATACATCCGGCCAGCGCGGCTTGCCAAGGATGCAACCCGCGCCAACACACCTTGCAGCTCCACAGATACTCCGCGTACTAAAGTTATACCACAAAGTCGCCAGTTCTCAGCTTCCAGCTCCCCAGATGGCTCCGCGTACTAAAGTTGTACTACAACGTCGACAGTTCTCATCTTCCAGCTCTCCAGATGGCTCCGCGTACTACAGTTGTACTACAAAGGTCGCCAGTTCTCATCTTCCAGCTCCCCAGATAGTCCGCGTACTCAAGTGCAACTGCAAAGTCGCCAGCTCTCGGCTTCCAGCTCCCCAGATACTCCGCGTACTAAAGTTGTCCTACAAAGTCGCCAGTTCTCATCTTCCAGCTCCCCAGATACTCCGCGTACTAAAGTTGCACTACAAAGTCGCCAGCTCTCATCTTCCAGCTCGCCAGAGAGTCCGCGTACTAAAGTTGCGCCACAAAGTCGCCTCTCAGCTTGCAGCTCCACAGATGCTGTGTGCGGATGGAGATTCACAAAGTGCTGTGCCTGCCACGAAATCTGCACATGGAGGTTCACAAAGTGGTGCGCCTGCGATGAAATCTGCGCATGGCAGTTCACAAAGTGCTGTGCCTGCCACGAATTCTGCATGGAGGTTCACAAAGTGCTGTGCCTGCCACGAAATCTGCGCATGGAGGTTCACAAACTGCTGCGCCTGCCACGAAATCTACACCTCGAGCTTCACAAAGCGCTGCGCCTGCAACGAAATCTGCGCATGGAGGTTCACAAAGTGCTGCGCCTGCCACGTACTCTGCGCATCTGCGCCTCCAGCTTCACAAAGTGCTGTGCCTGCCACGAAATCTGCGCCTCCAGCTTCACAAAGTGCTGTGCCTGGCACGAAATGTGCACATGGAGGTTCACAAAGTGCTGCGCCTGCTACGAAATCTGCGCCTCGAGGTTCACACAGTGCTGTGCCTGGCACGAAGTCTGCGCATGGAGGTCTGTGCCTGCCACGAAATCTGCACATGGAGGTTCACAAAGAAATGCGCCACGAAAACTGCACATG